GGGGGGGGGGGGGGGGGGGGGGGGGGGGGGGGGGGGGGGGGGGGGGGGGGGGGGGGGGGGGGGGGGGGGGGGGGGGGGGGGGGGGGGGGACCATTCAAGTTTCGCAGAGCTGACTGGCTACTCAAGAAAACTAAAATTATTAACACCTGGTTCCATGTTTCTTTCTCCGTCATCTGTGACCTGGCTGAAAAGCTTGACTAGTTCGAGGAGAAAGTAATATTCGAGAACATGTTTTTTTCGACGTCTCCGCTAAATCGCCGTTACCGTTTACTCGTAACGCGACGGCGTTGTAGACCCAGTCCTAACCGGTCATAGCACAGTGCGCGTGGTCGTCGAAAGGCTCAGGGTGCGTTCCTTTGGGATCGATCTGGATCAGGATCAATGATTTGAAGATCACTCGGATCATGGTGTATCAAAGAAACCGATGAATCCACTCTGATAGGAGGTGGCTCGCTAATTTTTCTCAGCAAGGACTTTTCCCAACTTCAGATTGTGCAAGGTCTTTCTTGGATTTGGGCAACGTATTTCTTTTTCATTTTATACCTTTTATTCCAAAAAAGCAAAACAAATGAATTCTGGTGGAAACTAAGGTAGACACTCTGGACAAATACCTCATTGTAATTTCTACTTTGTGGAATCGCCAGTATTTCTGGCAAATCGCAACATTTTGGGGCTGCATTGATACTAATACACCTATATAGTACACCTTCAAAAAATCATCCTACGTTGTGCCGGTTTTAATTTGCTTTTGTATTCTTCATTGATACTAGAACCCCACAAGGTACCAGCCACCACATCTTGAAAAATCCTGGATCTGCCCTCACATGGCAGCTTAGACTTGTAAGCTTATTGATTTTAATGGTTGCAATGTCATGCCTCAGATGACAGCTTGTAATTGAGCTTATATTAATAATGACTCATCTTGGTAACTTTTATTGATACTGCTATAATAAAAGTTAATAGCAGATAGACCAAACATTAAATTAAGTTCCCTTCAATTCAGGCAGTATTTGAATACATTGCTCATAATCACAGAAAATATAATTACGAAGCCAATATTTATTAACCTGTGAACAGGCAACCTGACATTTTTGACTGTTTCAGGTTATTTTAGGCTGTCAGTTACCCTTATTTTAGTTTAATTATTATACTACTTAATGTAATTTAATTTATAAAAAAAACAAGAGATAAATAAAGCTGTTGTTGTTGTTACTGGAAGGGTCTGACCACACCTTGAACGAAGGGCTGAGAAAGAACTGGCCGGAGGGTGAAGTGGCTGACAGGGGAATGGTGTGGGGGCCCGAAGGGGGGGGGGGGTACTCTCTTTATATTGGCTACATAGGTATGTGCGGCCCCAAAGGGTATGGTTTTTCAGATGTTTTGGTCATAAATTGGGTATCGATTTTGGCCATTTTGGTCTTAAATAGGGTATGTTTTTTGTACTCTAGTCTTGAATTGGGTATGTTGTTTAGAAGAAGCTACTTTTTCATCATTATCGAAGACCATAAGCAAAAGTCCTTCAAAAATTATGTTTTGGGTATCATAAACCCTGTCATAAAAAGGGTATTGAATCTTTGGTCAGGTCATAAATAGGGTAGGGAAAATCGCAGATTTTGGTCATAAATAGGGTTAAGGGTTTTGGGAAGCAGGCTGCACACCCCCACAAATCTTCTTTGTTCCTGCTTTCTCTTCACCCCATCCTTGACTAGAGAGCCTGTTCACAGGCTAACATTTGGAAAAAAAATGAACTTAGTTTTGATTAACTGACAAACTCTAATTAGAACTGCAGAGGTGATGGCTTGCAAGCTGGAGGAACTAGGTAGTTCTATGTTAAAACCAGTCAAAAGATCAGCTCAACACTTTTAAAAATAGCTCTTGTTACATTTATCAGCGGCTTGACACACAAACGAGGCAAAAGGGTCAATTCTGCATTGTATCGACCCTTTCGCCTCGTTTGCATGCCTTTTAAAACAACAGAATATTTGACTGCAGACTCAACTGCAATAACAGCTATTTAAAAATTCATAACCAGTTCCAAGAAAAAGTCAGGTCCTTAGAAAATTATATAAAAATTACCAGACCAGGCTTTTTAGGCTTGATTCTTAGACATTATGAAACCTGTTATTAATATTGTGGGCGTGAGGCTGAGTGTTTCATGCTTTACTTAAGATTTGTTTTCTGTTATTCTGTTACTCACCCTGTGATTCCACCCAGGCAACATAACAACATTGCCAAGTACATACAGGAAGGGAAGGGTGAGATGTTGAGTATGATTTGGGGTAGGGCACGAGAGAGATGTGCTGGCTTAGATGGGAGGGGAGAGAGGTGATTTTAAATTGCAATCTTCAGAGGTTACCAATGTCTTACCCATCAAAGTGCGTAACACATGGGAGAGGAGGCAGAGAGTGGGATGGCTTTGGTAAGGGAAGGGTTATTGGACCTAGCATTTAAACATTATAACAAATATTGGAACTGTGATTTAGACTTTTCGTTGATGGCAACACTAACTTCCTTGGCTTAAATTTTCTCAGACCCTTAAAAAGGAATCCTGAATTAGTTTTAATCGAGTTATGACAGCTGTGCTAAATTATGTGAACTTTGAGTAATAACAAATGAGCAATTTCAATGAAATTCAAAAATGGTCAACAAATATTGTTAGGCACACGATGTCTGCTGGAGTGCAAAATTCTTCAAATCACTGAATGTAAAGGTGTGCATAAATTTCTTGAGTTTTTAGTCCAAAATCCATTATAAATTACAATCATCTGCAGGTGAAAATTATCAGTCCTTTTAGTATAAAGCCTTTATCTGTTGCAGACACAAAATACTAAAACAACTAAATTCTGAAAAAAGATGAAGTGAATTGCAAAGTTTTGTATTGAAATTGGAGGGCACAATAATCCATGTTCCAAGATTGGGCTTGAACAGGTTTAATGTATGCTTGCATTATTAGGATAATTCATTCAGAGGAAATCTGCCACACCTGTGTTAGTAGGGCTAATAATAGCTCTGACTTTGTAAGGAAGGCATGCAAGGATTGCCATAAAAAATGCTTCAAATTCCAGACTCTCTTATCTCAGAAAAGAATACCCGTCTAACTTCCTGTTTCACAGTGCACGTGGGTGTTAGAAACTGCAACAAATCGTTTTCTTTTGCTTTCCCAAAAGAAAATCTGGGAAAACCCCCACACATCGAGGGAATTTAACTATTCAGCTGTTTCACTTTCTTGCTTCAATCTAGATTTCAAGAATCAAACACAAATGCTTTTTGACTGTGTAAAATGTATTATATTATAACTTTTTCAAATTGCTTCTTAACTACATTCAACACACATGGCAACTTGAAGTTTATGAGAACAGTAATTTCATGTCTTACAACATTTAACATGATCTTAGTTAGCCTGATAAAACTACTTTTTGACTCAAGATCTCATCTTGTAAATAGTCTCTATTCCTACTCGGAAGATTGTCAATATTATATTAGTGAATGCTTACCCGATAAACATAAGTTAGAGTTCGGATCTCATCTCTGCCACTATAATTTCGATAGGCCAAAAGTTACGCGGTATAATTCTTCCTTTCTGTATTCTATAAAGCACTAACATATGAATCTCTCATTCAATTTATATCCTGAATGTGTAATAAATAAATTGTGATCGACTTATAGGGCTTCAATAAACTTTAGGCCTTTGATATGCTTTGTATAAACGTATGAAAAATTGATTGGAACACAGTTGAACACTTGTAAAACGCAACATACCTCAGTCTGATATTTTAAGTCCAAACTTCGCATGACACACATGGTCTAGACTTGAACAATATAATATACCAAATAACTAATAATTTCTTACAACTTCAATTTACTATTCTATGGTCGTGTACAGTACAATGATCTAAGGAGTTTACTACTATAGCTAGATCGAAAATCCAGCTTTCGAAACTAGAGCAATAAACTTTAAATGCAGTGAGTCTTATGCGAGCTTGCACGTGCTTTCGAAGCACGAAGTTCCGCTTGTAGAACGTCTCATCATGATCACTGACTAGCAACTTTCGGATGTTCTCTACTGTCACGATCAAACTTTCGCCTCAGTTAACAGGAAGATACAAGCTATTTTCGTTGAAGGCCTCTCGCCCTCTAACTTTACAGTTTATAACTCACGCCGAGGTAGAAACTTGTGGCTGACTCAAAAGCATGATCTCACAACCGCCTTGGACATGATCCATAACTTGTAGCTTCAACTGACAAACTTGTTTCCTAAGTTCATTCACTTCTGAGCTGAGCTTCGAGTTGATGTTCTTAAGTTTGTCTACTTTTTCCTCCAGATCTGCTTCCTTTTCAAGTTTTCTCTTTCGGCATTTCGAAGCAGCGACTCGATTTCTCTGCTTCTTTCGCTCGTTCTTGACCGTTTCCTGTAGCGCCAAATCGATCGGTGGGAGAGGCGGCGTTCCGGGTACGACTTGCGGCTCGTTCTCCAATTTAACGTTATCCAACCGCTGTTGCTGAGGTGGAATCTGAACGTTCAATGGCTGACCGTAGCTTGTGCTTGGAATCGGGCCTACTGCGGGTCTTTGAAAGTCAGGGAAAATTTGCGTCGCGCCGGAAAACGACGACAACGGAAGTGCTTGTGTCGAAATCGTGGACGTGCCTGTTGATAACAATGGAGTTGAACTCGTCGTGCTATTAATCCCATTTGCTGCCGCTGAGGCAAATGACAAATTGAGAGCACCTTGTACAAGAGCGTTCGAATTCAGAGCATTGAGAGCAGCGTTCTGTCCCCTTGGTTCTTGTTGGTCGTGTAGTTTTTGAAGGGCTTCCATAAACCCTCGTGCGTACATTTCTTGCTGTTCTGTCACATTTTGTGTTCCCTTGAAGAGCTGTGTCGGTGTTGGCGTCGTCAAAATTCCTCCATAACCCATGATTAGCTTCTCCAGCTCTGGTGAGCCTAAAGTTAACAAATTCAAATCTGGCGATGTCAACAGAGCGCCGTCCAGCGAAGTTTGTCGTCGAGTGTTCGCCGACGAAAAATCCAGCTTTAGATTGCCTTTATCGTATATGGCAGTTTGAGAACTCGATGTTGTGGGCATAATTTCTTCGTCATACAATGATGCTTCCATTCACGAAGCAGGTCTTGCTAAAACTAATATGAAAATCAGCTGACTCAGTGTTCAGGGATTGCTTAGGGCTTTTCGCAACCAACGCACTTTTATTTCCGTAGAAAACCATTCATATATGAACTGTGTCATTTTCTATTTCAGTCCAGCTATGTCATCGCAAATTTGATTGGTTGAAAATCTGAACTTTGTTCTTCGGCGTGTTGTAATTGGTCAACTTTTTGTTGACTGATTCGCACGTGACATACGACACAATTCGTATGACGTAAGTCGGAAAACATGCCGAAAACAAAAGCTGTATTTCCTAGGTTACTCAAAGGAGCGCGAATTTTCGATTTATTAACTTCACGAAACTTGTAGAATATTCAGTTTTGAAGCGAAACACGTACACGATCAGTGTTTGATTTTCTGAGAGAGATCAAACCCAAACAAATTTAGGCAAATGTAATTATTTGGTAAAAGATTTCGTAACGAAAGCGGTGCTAAATATTACAGAAAATTGTCTTTGAAATACATACTCTGTAAACTCAAAATAATTCCTAGAACATCCAGCACAAATTTTGCATTTATACGAAAGTGTGCAGTAAATATTTTATGACTTGCTTTTACGAAAGAAAACGTCGGTTTTCAATGAAAACCAAGACTAAAATATTACGACAAGGGCCGTGCCGGTCGCGCCCAGCCGCCCACTTTGTTTGAGCTCTTTTCAGTATTGAAGATATTTGTTTTTCGGAGAAAGCGTAAGGATGTCTATTGTTTTCTTATTGATTGTTTCTTATTGATTTTCCGCTAATCGCTTCGCTAGCGTGACGAGACGCCATCTTTGAGCGTGTGCCCCAAACCGCAACAGGTTCGAATTTCATTTTTTTTCACCGGAACCAGAATTTTGGAATCCTCACGTTCGGCCGGCTTTAGTCTATTTCGCATCAGTTACTATTTCGCAGTTGGTAACAATTTCGCAGTTGATAAAATAATTGCAGGCAATTATTTTCACCAGAACTATTTTCTTAATTCAGCTGAATAATAATATAATTGATTCAAAAGTCACGTACATGTTTCATTCATGTTTCATTTCTATCTCGTGTACGTACGTCTAGACTGAAACTTCGAAATCCCCACCTACGTAGACCCGTTTTCTACTTTTAAGTTCAGCATTTTAAACTAGTCTATCTTGTGTGCCATCTTTCTTGCAAAGGACTTTAAAACGGTCCTCAGGTAAAAAAGCCATTTGTTATGATATCTCTAAACGTGCTTCGAATTATAAATTTTCGGTGTTTTCTCGTTCGAAACAGGTGTAATTTGTAAATGTCAAACTCAGATTACCATAAATGGCCATAAAAACTAAAAAAAATATCATCCTTTTATTACAGCCGGTCACGATTTATTTAAATCTTCCAAGGTGATCCTTTTTTGTCCGGAAAATAAAGCTGATTTGTTTATCCGAAATTTACTTGGCGTTAAATTAGCTAAAACAAGGGAAGTAAATTATTTTTGCGAAGAAAATGCAAACTGGATTGTATGATTTTGCGGGCTTGCGAACATGCTGATATAAAATGGAATATTCATAACTTCTGATTTATATTTTGAGACCATTTTTGGTAATATTTTGTTCGGTTTGTTTTATTACCGATCATCTTGATCCTCTATTTCGGAAAGATTTTATGTGGAAAGATAATGCCGTAATATTTAAGTACAAACTCAACAGAAAGATTCCGAGAATTGAAAGAAGTGGCCGAAAGACGGCGTTTATTTGGGAGTGTCAGAGTTTGACATGTTCATGAGAAGTTTTAGAAATATTTTGCGGGACTGTTTTCCTAAATTAAGCTTCCTTTCTCTGGCTAATGTATTAGTTTGTGCTTTGAATGGTGTTGCATCAATCACCAAGTTGATTTCAATATCAGAAAAAGAGTCTTTCATAGTATGATTTCTGAACTACACATTGTTGTCGGTCGCTGTTGTTTTAAAATGGGTTCCTTGCAGTAGAATCAGGTTTTCCCAGAACTAACAGGTGCAATGACTTCCGCTCTGATACGATAAAAGCCATCAAAAGAAGATCAAAAGGATCATGCATGTAAATTTATGTGTAATCGGAAGCACACCTCTCAAATAAACGCGGAATCGGTGTCCGAACATATGAATGGATAGGGAGTGGTCTTTTGAACAAACAGGAAATGCGGCCAGAGATTATTCAAAGGAGGCTTTCCCTGAAAGAAACTGAAAGGACTTCTGACACAAGATATCCTGTGAGCAGAGTCTCCGTCGATCTTCCTAGAGAAAATATTTGTTTTTACTAGGAAGATAGAAGGAGACTTTACTCGCAGAGTAGCGTTATCCGACACAATGATTGCTCAAAAAGCTCACCCGATATCATGTTCACTCTGTGTTACTAGCAAACTAAATTAAAATTAATTTTTAACTTCACTTGATGAGTCTGACTCTGCCAGTCGCTTATCCAGGACGCAACAAGAGTGGAAGCGTTCAAATACAGAATAAGAGGACCCTTGTAACCCGTAAAATACTAACTACAAACAAACGACGAGCAAACCGGAAGTGCGATTTGTGGCGAGAGGACCAAAAACGCGCAGGCACTGGAAACAAGAGTGCTTTCCAGGTCACACAACACTCGGAGTGTCACTGCACTCGGAGTAACACAAGTCAGTTGGTCTGCTTTCGGCTGCGGGAAGTTTGTTTAGAAGTTCGCCCATTATTTGCTGTCATCGAGTTTTGTTAGTAAAGCCAAATGGTAGAAAAGCTGGTGTAGCCAAATGTTGGCCGCAGTGATAGGAAAAGATGTTTTCGGACGCCTTGATGATAACAACGTGACAATGGCTTCTGGCGGGAAAATGGATCGGCCGACGGACCGGCCGCGGCCGTCGTCTTTGCAAGTTTTGTTTCTTCGTGGTCTTAAAGCAATAAGCTTCTCCTCTTTCAAATTAAAGTCTTCAAAGAATGAGTGCTTTTCAATATGCGTCGACTTCGTCATTTTCAGAAGAACTTTCTACCCCGACTGGTGGTGCAAAAGCATTTCCCAAAAGTTCAGGCTGGACTTCTTCTACAGCCGACAACGAACGCAGTGCGAAACGACAGAACTCAGCGGGCCATCAGGGAGCTGCTTTCAAACACCAAAAGACTCCTTCAACGAGTGTGACTACGGACAATGAACACGTTTCTTCAAGCGACCGACGTTCTTCAGGGACGGAATGTGATAGAGACAGAGGGGAAGGCATGAACGAAAACGATATTGTGCATCAAAGAAATCTTGCTGCGCTAGAAGATGGTAGTCCAGCAGAATCCGAAGTGAAGGTAGCTTAACATTTTTTTCTGCCCTAAAGATTTAAGTTTATGCTGTGTTTTGTTTTGACGAAGTCTCACTAAGGGGGTGTGTAGGGACACAAATTTGTTTGGGTTGGGATGTAGATGGAGAAGGGGGCGGGGGGGGGTGAGTATAAAGCCTAAGGTATTTTGGGGTCAAATTTTTTCCGGCATTTTCAATTGTGTATGAGCATGGAAAGAAAATTGTGTGGGATAGTCCAATGGGCTAGAAGATTTTGCAGTCAGGCTAGCGAATTCTTGGCTTCATCAGCCCAACGGGCAAGTGAAGTTTCATGGGGAAACTTTTGAGGAGATTTAAAATCACTGAATTACTGTAAGAGAAGAAATTTTGGGGGCTAGCTAGAGAGAACAGCTTTTAGCCTAGGACATCATAGTTACAGGTTGCCCAAAGGGCAAGCCCAAAAATTGGTTTCCTTAATTTGTACATTTGTGAATATTTCGGAAGGCTGCATCTCTAAAAGGTATTTTGTCACAATTGTTTCGCTTAGCCTAGCTCCATTTACCTTATTACCATTTATTTTATTTTGCAGAGAGTTTTGTCAGTGGTTTGGAGTAAAGGAAAACTAGGTTCTGCTTATTATGACACAGAGACTTCACAACTTCATCTCCAAATGGATGTTGTAGAGACAAAAGATTTTCAGTTTCTTAAGAGGGGTAAATATGCTGTGTTACATGTATTGTAAAGATCAGTTTAACATATAACTGATTTTTTGAAAAAGTTATGTATGGCTCACTTCATTTTATAATTTGCACAATACAAAAACCAAAAACATTTTCTTATTTTGTAGTGGAAATTAAACCCAAAGAATGTTTCATTTGCACTTCACTTGTTTTGTTTTGCTTTTTTTTTTCAGTAAAAGAGCAAGTACAGGCTGATGTTATCCTTACCAGTGCAGTACAAGATGAGAAGTTGCTCAAGATTTTACAGGGGCAAGGTGTGCATTTAGATTTATTTCCTTTGAACACTTTCATTTTCATTAATTAATAGAAGTTGGATATTAGCAAAATTTATAATTTTGTGTGTACAGTGAAGCAGCTGAATCCTCTGCACAGTTGCCCATGGCAACAGTGTACCTCTTTACAATTAAATTATTCTTTTTTTTTTGTAATGTCAACTTGTGTTGATGTTGCTACTAAGTACTCTGACTATACTTTCCCTTAAATTGATCTCATTTGTTGTCTTTGGTGTATTAATTTAGTGAAGATGCAATTCCTTAACACATTTCAAGTCGTTTTGATTTTTGATTGATTTGTAGAAGGTGAAAACAATGATGAACTAATTTGTGAGACAACAGAGGTTGAAATCCTACCAAGCATAGATTTTTGTAAGCTCATGATACTGTTTTTTTTATGGTACAATGTTCTAGTTAAATAACTTCTATGATAAACCTATCCCAATGACCCCACAAAGGACCATAATACATCTACAAAGTCCTGCCATATTCAAGGTTCAAAACTTGGTAATGTTCCTAGGTGAAAGAAGAGAGGTTGGCCCTGCAGCTTCTGTTGTGAAGGTTTGTCTCTGTGACCCCAGCCCTAGAGTTACATGTATGTTGGCAGGAGGGGTGTACTCCTGGTGGGCCACCCATGCTGAACAGGTTGAAGGGTAGGGACATGACCTAAAAAAGAATCCCCGGTCCTCCAGGTTGGCGGTTGAGTGAAGGCCAACTACCTTCCATTGTGAAAGCTTCACAGTTATGGAGACAACAGAACATGCAACTCAATCTCTCTTGGGCTGAGGACTACTGGCTGGTATTTTGAAGCCATGTATATAATATTAGTAAAAAGATTAAGTGATCTCACCAAGTTAATACAATTCCTGTGCTACTACTAGCAAAGTGAAGCAGAAGCCAAGTTAATGTGAATGTTTGCCAATGAATAGTCAGAACAATCTATTACTGATCAGCATCCTCTTTCATATATATTTCTTTACCTCTGTAGCTTATGAAGTGTGCAAGAGAAGGATCATTGCCTTGAATGCATGCCTTCCAGGAATCCCACAGCACTTCACAGATAATGAAAGGGACATACATATGAGCTCACTTGTACCATTCGACAGTATCAGCATGGTAAAAATGTACTTAAATGTTATTCCTTCTATAGCTAGATTACAGTTTGAAACATAACAGTACTCTTCTTATCCTTACCCCACCATACCCAACTATATTCTACTTTACCATACCCTATAGTAAAGTAGAGTGTAGTGGAGAATGGTAGGGTTACCCTACCCTACTCTACCCTACTCTTTTAGGGTAGTTTACATTATACTATCCTACCCTGCTCTACCATACCCTACTCTACCATACTCTACCTTACCCTGCACTACTCTCTCCTACCCTACTCTACCCTAGCCTGCAATACCCTATCCTATCCTATCCTATCCTATCCTATCCTATCCTACCCTACCCTACCCTACCCTATCCTACCCTACCCTACCCTACCCTACCCTACCCTACCCTACCCTACCCTACGCTACCCTACCCTACACTACCCTACCCTATCCTCCTCATGCCCTACTCTAGCCTACTCTACTCTTCTTTACCCTACCCTATTCCTCTCTACTCTACTCTACTCTAC